CCAGGCGTTGGTTTGTTGTTTCAAAAGCACGAACATTTGAAAGTTGAAGTGTACACTGATGCAGATTGGGCAAGATCCCTAAATGACAGAAAGTCAACTAGTGGCTATTGTGCCTTATTAGGAGGAAACCTAGTTACCTGGAGAAGCAAAAAGCAGAATGTGGTAGCTAGATCCAGTGCTGAAGTTGAATATCGGGCAATGGCTCATGGAATGGCTGAAATTATGTGGCTAAAGAATCTGTTGAGTGAGTTGGGTTTTCCAGTGAACAGACCTATGACCCTATTCTGTGATAACAAAGCAGCCATAAACATTGCTACTAATCCAATGCTGCATGATAGAACTAAACACATCAATGTCGACAAACACTTTATCAGAGAGAAAGTTATCACAGGGGAAGTGTGTACTCCTTATGTTAGCTCTAAGGATCAACTTGCAAACATCTTTACAAAAGGGCTACACCATTCACGGCATCATGACTTATGTGACAAGTTGGGCATGATTGACATCTATGTCCCAACTTGAGGGGGAGTGTTGAAAGTTTGTATTTTCCCTAAGTATAGTATCGCATGGGTACTATTGTACTTTTACCCCTTTTATTTTTTAGTTGCTGTCGCCCGAGTATATATAACAAAATAGCTGGCGCCGCCAACATGCTTTTGAATCTCAATCTTTTCTCCTCTCTTCTTCTCTCTCTCTTCTTTCTTCTCCTCTTCTCTTCCATCATTGCATTGATAACAAAAATTATACAAACATACATGCTCCAAAAGATCATTCCTCCAACAAAAGATGCAAATATGAACCTTATATAGACTTATCTACTTAATTAAAAGATCCTAACCTCTGTCCAACTCATACCTATAGTTTTTATATTGAGATATTTTGATTAAGGAGATAAGTTTACAAAGCATCATATGATAACTAAAATGACCGATCCACTAGACATGTCCATAATTAAATAAAGAACAAATAAATGAGCATAAAGGATCCCATTAACACCCCAATAACAAGCATGACATGAATATATACAAACAATTCACTTTTTCCTACACTAAGGGCCTGTTTGTTTCCTCTTAACTATTATCTCTTAAGAGGAATCTTTTAACTTTAAGAGAAAAATGGTTGTTCGTTCCTCTTATCTCTTATCTCTTAAAGTGCAATCATACAATTTTTGTTTTCTAATGATACCCCAAAATAGACAATAAAAAACTCTCATATATGGGGTTAAAATGGATATTTGATAATTTTCAGAATTCAAAATTCAGAACAACATTCTCTGTATTCAATGTTCAGAGGAAAGAAAAGTTCACCAATACCAATATACCTCTTAATGTAATTATTGCACTTTCAGATGTTAGACTTCAGAGCAAATGAACAGGCCCTAAGCATACACATTTCTGCAACACTCATTTTTTGGGTGTGCTGTTTCTTAGCTTCTTGGACAGCTATTTATCAAAAGAAAAAAAGGTTCATGGTTTAGCTTCTTGAAGGATAAATAGTCTGATAAATAACCACTTACGGATAAATATTTTTCTACCTTTATTCATGACATCTCATTAACAGGGATGCACGAGTGAATGACTGTTATGATGTTCAGAAAAACACAGTTGGTTAGAAGTCTCACCTTAGAAGAGACCTCAATGATTGGGAGGTAAAATCCATGGCGAAATTACTACAAAACTCATACGCTAACACCATGTATAGGCCAAGAAGGTAGAAGGGTTTGGAAGTGGGAATTTTCAGGCTCTTTCTTGAATCGTTTTTCAAGAAATTAAACTCTCCTGCAGCAAGAGAGGAAAAGCTTACTGGGCTATAGTAATTCATGCTGTCTTGTTGGGTGTTTAGGAAGAAAGAAACAGGCGAATCTTTGAGAACAAGAGTGCACACACACACACACACAAAAAAAAAAAGGGGGGGGGCTGAGATTGAGACATGCAATGAGGTCCAGACACCATACACCAACATGTGTGTTGATTGGTTTTGAAGGTAATGAATGTGTTGATTTAACAAAAAATTAAGTTCTTTCTTGCTTATTGGTTCAGGTTTTGAAGTTTTTGGAGGTCCAAGACACCATATACCAACATGTGTGTTGATTGGACCCTAACAAGCAAGAAAATAATAAAAAGAAACTAGTATATTAACCCACAAAAAAGAACATTTTAGTTTAATAATGTCTATTTTATTATTAGAATAAAGAATTTTTTTTGATCAGTATGTCAAAGAAAAAAGATGGTAAAAGTGGTATGTACAAAACATGTAGGTGATCAAGCGAGGCAACCCTCTATGGGCACCTTGACAATCAAGCATTTCCTTGACAACTGTGTATTGTATTTCCTTTTTAGTGAGTTAATCTTGAAATTTGTGCATACAACTTTCTTGCGGCTTGAGAAGTGAGACTCCTCTCCTGGTGATGGCATTGCTTTTTCTTTTTTTTTTTGATAGATAATGGAAATGATAATATTATTGATTAAAGAACTAAGTATACATCATACAATTCCCCACTAAGAGGCACGAGGTGCAGCCTCCTAACTACATCATAAAGCTTACAATTGAGCCCAAAAGAACTGATTCCTAGTACTCCTTGTTTAGCTAGGAGGTCTGCCAGCCCATTTGCTGATCTTCTTTCCCATTGAACTGTGACTGAAATATTTGAAGTTAGCCACTTAAATCTTCTCAAAGTCCCCCTGTACGACCAGGCTGCCGTCTCTGGTTCTTTTAGCCATCCAACAACCAATTTGGAATCACCTTCAATCATTAAATGCTCCACTGCCAACTCTCTTGCATATTCTGCTCCTTGTAACACAGCTTGGAGTTCTGCATTTACTGAGTCTCCCCACCCTATAGGACCAGAAAATAGTGCTACAATCTGACCTTCTTCGTTTCTAAAGATTCCCCCTATTCCAGAAGGTCCCGTGTTGTCCAAACTACTGCCATCAAAATTTAGTTTAATGACGCCTGCATCAGGAGACTTCCAATCCACCACCGGCTTGCTTCTGACTGCAGAACTTATGGCATTGCTCTTTCTCTTCTTTTGGTTAGTGACACTCCAACCAGAGAAGTGAAACCTAGTAGTGAGGCTCTAAGAGACTAAGACTCTGTGTTGGTATATTTGGTAACTTAAGATCCGCTTACTAGTACTATTGACAATGTTTATGCCAAACTAGTAACTTTCTAAAAAAATGATGCTAAAATACAATGTGGAGTTGTATATTTAGTAACCCAAGATTTTCCACTAAAGAAAAAACAAGAGGAAATAGAAATCTTTTATTTTATTTTTTCAGTAATAAAAAAAAATTATTAAAAGAAAAAAAATATTATGAAGAAGGTGACCAGAAGTTACCTGAGAGAAAAGAAAAAAACAAAACTAATCCCAACTAACTCCAAACAAACTCTAGTCACCAATCTCTCCAACTAAAGAAAGATAGCAAAACATACATCCAAACCCAAACACCCAAACACCCAAATACCCAAACAGCCCAGCAAATATCAACTTCCATGCTACAAGCTCAAACAAACAAAATACCAACCCATCTGAAAAGCAAAGAATCCAAACCCCAACAGATGCCAAAAATCCTGCAACCTGAAAAAAACAGGCAATCAACTAAACATTCTAACAACTAATCACCATTGCTCATCTTCTCTAATAGCTTGAACATAAACCTCTACTCAAAAACTTTCTGTGATTTTTTCACCTTCTTGTTTGGCCCAATCCCAAATAAACCCCTTTCAATCTTGCAAAACTTTTGAAACCAGAACATTTCGATTTTTTCTCTGACTTCTAAATCTTCTCACTGCAAGAGGAGTTTACCTAAAGTCCTTCAGTTCCTTGGAATTCTCATCAATCCTCTCTAACTCCAAAACCATATTCTTTAAAATCTGACCTGCAATCAACTCTTCACCCTCTTCATTGACAACCCCCACAAGTGCAGCTAACCTCTGTCCATTATGAATATCTTCTACCCTTGAATTATTTCCTTCAGAGCCTACACTAGTCTTCTTCAAAGGATTCCCATATTTTTTCTTCCAGTTCCTCAAGGCCCCGTTCGTTTTTTGGGAAGCCATTTACCCATGTTCTTTAATTTCCCAGATTAATAAGATAATTACTGTTTTATCCATAAAAAACCATTACTAAAAGGGGCAATTTTGTCCCATCCAATTGTTGGCAACTTCTCCCCAGGTGGGAAAGTTACTTACCCGCTTGGGAGATGGGTATTACTTACCCCGGTAAGTGATACCCAGGGGAAATGAATTTTCCATGGACCCTACATAATTCTGAAAAAAGAACATGGGTTTCTCGGTCAATAGGAACCAAAATCTCATTGGCCAACTTCCCCCACTCTCAAAATCTGAAAAATGAACAGGGCCTAATAGTTTTCCTTGCAAATTCTTCACCACCTAAAAAGAAAAGTCCCGGTGACCTACTCACCTCCACCTCAGTATTCACTAGTCTCCAAGTCTATTGATCTCTCAACAGCATGAGTTTCATCTACCTGAATGTCTTCATTGCTTGAATGAGTCTCTTCAGCATCTTGTTTGTCTTCATCTACATTATTATCATTGTTTCTATTTTCCTGTACCAGTCTAGTCTGATATATATATATATATATTGCACATCTTTAAACCTCTCTACATCTTCTTTTTCCCTTTTTTTGTGTAAAAGAGGATATAGAATTCATTCTTGCAAATTCTGATGCCTGAGCAGTAAATTACCTTGGACTTTGTGCATGTGCAAATCCTCACCTTCGGTTCTGTGCTGGCACAGAAATCTTCCAAGTAGATTAAACATGATAACATGGTAGACATTCTAATACCATTAAACTTATCTTTCTTTTCAGTTATCACCTTTATTTATTTTTAGTACTTGCAATCATTCTACATTACTTGCACTCGTGAAAATACATATTGATAACTTGTCAACAGCCTTTCAGTTTGGTTCTTGAGTTGATGTATTAGCAATTAAATAATTTCATACATGCTGTTATTTATATTGCATTTGTTAACAGCATTTAGCGAAGGCATGGTTAATGATGGTTACGAGGATGTTATCAACATCGATATATCATCTGTGGTGATTGAAGCTATGCAAAAGAAGTACCAGAATCATCCAAAACTCAAATGTATCCCTTTTATTATTATGGTTTTGGAGGTCATAATATATATCTGTTCCTCACTTATCAGCAATGTAGCCTAGCAAATTGAGGGAGATGTGGAGATACCGAGCCACAATGTAATGTTTCTAGAAATGAACTTTAATTATGCAACAAAAAATGAAGTTGTAACCTTTTGATAGATGTACCGTAATGAAGAACTTATGACAAAGATGGCCTAAACTATCTTAACAACTAAATTCTGATCATTACTAGTTAGTAAGGTAGCCACGTTCTGATAGATGTACTGTAATGAAGGTAGCAACTAAATTCTAGATATGAACATTAATAATGCTACTGAAAATGAAGTTGTAACCTTATGATAGATGTACTGTAATGAAGAGCTTGTGACAAAGATGACCTAAACTATCTTAATAATTAGATTCTGATCATTACTAGTTAGTAAGGTAGCCACGTTCTGATCCTACTAATAAATCAGGTAAATTGTGGTTGATAGAAAATTATTTACCATGATGAGGCTTCGTCTATTAGCAATCTTTTTTCCTGAATATGTAAGCAGATATGAGAATGGATGTCCGGGACATGAGTGCCTTTGAATCGGGTTCATTTGATGCTGTTATTGATAAAGGTACTGCTTCTAAGTGTTCAATTTGATTTCATTTCTTGCTTTCTTTTTTTCATAAATTTGAAGGAATTATGCTAACAGGACTTAGAGGGTTGTTAAGTCAGATGCTGAATGTCTTCTCTTATGGACCTTGTGTTTGCAGGAACTCTAGACTCTCTCATGGTGAGTGCCATATACTTTAAATACCTCTATCTTTGCAGAGAGATGATTACTCATAGGCAGTTTTTGTCCATAGTGCGGACATAACTCCCAACAAAATGCAACTAAGATGCTTGAGGAGGTCGGAAGGTACATAAAAATTATTAAACACCTTGAAAAATTATTTCTTAATTTATTTTTCACCTTTGATCCGGTCATCATATATTGAAGCAGTTAGTGACACTATCAGGGTCCTCAAGAATAAGGGAGTCTATATTCTGGTAACATGACATTATTCTTTAATCCTTTAAATGCTACATTTTCCTGTTCTTTGGAATTACCTAGAAGTTCTCTGGCTTTCTATAAGAAACATATGTTTGCAGGTATGCCTCTAACTGGTCTAACAATGCAGATTACATATGGTGCTCCAGCTTATCGATTATCTTTGTTGAGAGATCTGCACTTGTGGACAATAAAACTTCATGTAATAGGTTGGAAAATACCCTTCCTAGCATAACTGCCATTATTTTCTTGAATGAAGAAAGTGGCATAAGTTTCTGTATACACATTCTCAGTCTTATCCACTACTTTACCAGATTGTCTGAACAAAATGTTTATATTCTTTTTTTAATTTTATCATTATCAGCAAAAAAAAAAAAGATCTCTTAGCTGTAAAAACCCTTGCAATAAGAAATGTTAATAACAGGGTACAAAAGAGAAACGTTACAATGTCATTACAAGGTCAATACAAAAGAACAAATAGCTGACATTTCTAAGGTACAGAAGTGGGCTTTGCTCTACTATACCACTCCTGGACCTAATTAAGGACATGTACGAGGCTGCAAAATTCAATTCTAGAACACCTTATAGTTACAATGGATCTTCACCAAGGTTCAACACTTTTTTTTTTTTTCATATATGAATCAACTAAACATATTCAAGAGGACCCATGGTGCTTAATGGTTGTGGATGATATTAAATGCAAAATTAGGTTTATAGACAACTACATCAGAAACCAGAGGTTTTAAAATACGTAGGACCAAAAAGAATATATGGAATGTAAATTTAGTAATAATAGGAATGCAAACTAAGGTACACTTAGGATTGAAGACCAAGAGATAACTCAATGTGACCTCTTCTGGTACTTTGGTTCAATAATTCATAACAAAAGAGAATTGAGGAGGATGTTGCCCATAGAATTAGAGCAGGATAGGCAAAAATGGAAGGGGTGTATCTAGAGTCTATTGTGATAGGTGAATCTTACTTCAGCTAAAAGGAAAATTCTATAAAACAATTGTAAGCCAACTATGTTATATGGAGCAGAGTGTTGGTGGTTAAGAAACATTGTATCCAAAAAAAAATGAGTGGTAGAAATGTGAATGTTTAGATGGATGAGTGGTAAAGCTAGAAAAGACAGGGTTAGAAATGAAGTTATATGAGGGAACCTAGGAGTAACACTAATAGGTGATAAAATGAGAGAAAATACATTGAGATGGTTGGGTCAGATGCACAAAAGACCATTTACAATACTTGTTAGAAAAAATGACTTGGGTGGAAGTAATAATAAATGATTTTAGTGTCCGTAATTGAACAGTGGATATGACACTGAACAGAACAGAATGGCGAAATAGGGGGTGTATTCAGGAATGAGGAGGGGCATATTATTGCCATGTTCTCTGGGCCAATCGGAGAGGGTGACTCTCTTAGGGCTGAAATTCTAGCAGTTCTTGAAGGAATCCAAAGAGCAAGAGAATTAAGCATCAGATGCTTAGTTATTGAGGGGGATGAGGAGGTGGTGATTAGGTGGCTGAAAGGAGACAACAGTAGCTTGTGGAGCTACAGAAATGAGAAGAAAAAATTTAATTGGCTGAGTAAGGACTTAGAGGTGAAATACAGCTGGGTGAAGAGAAGTGCTAACTCAATGGCTGATGGGTTAGCTAAGCAAGGAGTGGCTTACCTCCCCTGTCCTGTAATTAAATTTCACAAGTATTATTCATTAATAAAGCTTTCTGTTATTGATCAAAAAAAAAAAAAGAACAGAATGGTGAAATAGGATACATGTAGCCAACCCTATATAGTTGGGATGGTGATGAAAATGAAATAGTTTTAAGCTATAAAATACTTAATATAACAAGTTTTGAACACAAGATTTAATACTACTTTAAATTCATGACTAGAAAAAATAATGAAGTTCTCGCAATAAGTTGACAGATGCTTGTATGTAGGCAATTAAATTATAGAAGAGTTCATAAATTTGGGAAAGTTTATGAGTGAAAAGTGAAATTTGTCTTCATTGGTTTACTTGTTTTACCAGTTTCATTGTGGAGCAAAAGTGTCATTAAGTTTAAAAGTTTAAAATGGGTTTGGCTTATTGGTGGAAATGTTAAATACAAACTCCAATTTGTTAGGTATAAAAGGTAAAAGGTTAAAGTACAGAAGGAGAATTTGTTACTATAGCCAAAGTTAAGGAGAGACAACAGAATTTGCCCTAACAAGTATTGTAGTTTGAGCTGGTAAAAAGAAATTATGGTTTCAATTTACATTCTGCTTTAGGCCCACATGAGGTTTGCGGATAAGTGATTGTCTGGTTCTGATAAGTTAGGAGCAAGGAATCTCCATCTTTTATGTAAACATCTAGGTTTTTGTCTCATAAGGAACAAGGAATGCTGTTAAAGATAATTGTAGTTTATCTTTATCATTTGAACTTGTATTCCCTTATTTTTTTAATGAAAAGGAAATGATTCAGTTGAGTTTGTTCATGCAGAAAAGCTTGTGGCAGAGAGAAGCTTAGAACATAAAAAATGGGAGTTAACAGAGCCTGTACCATTGGATGAGGGTGGTTCAGTCGAGGCAGTTCTTGGAAAGAATCCTGAGGTCCATTATATTTATGTTTGTACCAAGGTCTGTGATTCTGATTTACTGTAAATTCTGTGATTTATTTTGGGCCCTGCTCTTAACCTTGGCAATTCGTTTTTTCCTACCTGGCTTGGGCTCTGTAAATTTCTTCACCAAAATGACCAGCCTTGAAACAATGACTCTATCTATGGGCTAAGCAGGGATACTTGAACCATGAATCTAAGGCCTATTAGGTCTGTGTCTTGTGTATTTACAGGATAAGCCCACAAATGGAATTGGAGCATGATGGCGAATGTTGATAGAAGAAAGTGAAGAATGCCTTTGTGAGTTTGTGTTCAGATTTTTATCCTCCATACTTGGTATTCCAAGAGTGTGCTTTTTGTTATTTTTTTATAGATAGTGTTGTTGGAACTTGAAACATTTGATACCAATATATTATTATTATTAATTTATCATCACCTTACCGTACTCTTGAATTTGTATTTTAACAGCGGACATATTTTGTTCTAGTCGAATTTTGTATGAAATTTCAAAAGTGGTCGCAGTTGAGCTGAATCAACTGAACCTGGCAGAGGTGTCACTGGAATATTCTGAGTTTATAATTGTTCTTTGGTACAATGTTCGTTAAAAATATACGGTCTACGAGATTTGACTAGGAATGCTTTATATTGCTAGCAGTCATCAAGGATCAAGATGTACATCAGTGCAAAAAGAATCTCAGAAGGAAGGTAACGTGCAAGAAAACTGCGTGAGATTATCGATGAATATGATATACACAAGGCACAACTGCGTGAGATTATCGATGAATATGATATACACAAGGCACCAAGTTGATGGATTATGGATATACGCATTTGTTGGTTTATTCCTGCCTTGCAGGCCAGATGGTATCTATTTCACCTTCTAAGCATGTGATCAGAACGCAATTATCGATGAAGTTAAAGAGGATCTGAAATAAGATAATTGGGAGGCCCTGGCCCCTGCTAGCTGAATTGTGTTTTTTTTTTTTTTTATTTATTCCCTTTGTTCAAATTTCAGGAAAACTAAACCGAGTGGTTATAAGATACCACAGTTGCCACTTCAATTGGCCTTCCATTTAGTCCGTTTAGTCTATTTCCATAGACCATAGTCTGTTTGATAGACAGGAATGGAAATGGGAATTAGAATTAGTAGGAATGGGATTTCATTCCAAAGGGAAGGGCAGGGAATGGTTACTCCCTCAAATAAGGGAATGCCATTCTAGCAGGAATGGGAATGGGATTCCAATTTTGCCCAATCAAATGAAATTCTGATTCCAGACCCCTATTCCGCAAACCAAATGGGGCCTTAGTCCCTGTTCGTTTTCTGATATCTCACTTACCCCCCAAGTAAATGCTTACCTGCATTCTTTTTTACATGAAATTACTTGGGTATGTTTATTTTATAGGGATATTTTTTGAAAGGAAAATTTACAATTAGGAGTCTTCACAGGGAAAAGTTCATTTATATACAAGTATTATATGGTTATACCCATGGAAATGAGCTTACCCATGAGATCCACCATTATCAACAAATAAATGGGGATTGATGGTCAATGCCTCAATGGGAATAACTTTCCTGTTTATAAGCTTCCCCTATTCCTTGTCCAACTCCCCTCTCCATTTGCTGAAAAATGAACTGAATCTTTGAAGAAAATGGTAATAATTAGGGGTGTCAATGGACCGGTTTTGGATTAAACATTGTCCAATCAAAAATCAATTTAGACGAATTGGACGGGATAATAAGACATGTTGAATTGGACCAATCCAAACTTAATGGTCCAAAGTATTTATTGGATTTGATTAGACCTGGTCCATCCATAGTGAATTTATATTGGATTGAGCTAATATCTGGTCCATTGATAGAAGATAAGAATATAGGTGTCGATGGACCAGGTTTGGGTTAGAATTAATCTAAATTAAGACAAATTTGAACAGATTGGATGGTCCAGACATTGAATTGGACCAGTTCAAAATAGTCTCAAATATTCATTGGATTGGACCTAGTCCATTTGTAATGGACACACATTGAACTGGATTGCAATGTATTAATGCTTATCATATCATAGGTACTGATGGGGGGTGACCTAACCTAGCCCATTTGAGGCTGGGAGGCCCAGCCCACGAATGCCAGACCTGGGAATGAGATCCGCTACAGCAGAGGTTACTCTACTCCCCTTGTACAGAGCCAATTGCAGAGCGCCCACGCGTCCCTCCAGAGCTCTCTGACTGCCCTCGTACGACTCCCATCTCAAGCGTTCATCTCCACCTACCTCCAGGCAGCTCAAGTATAAATAGGCGTGCCCCCCTCCAGGTAAGGGGATTGAATACAATCTATATCTGGACTTGGAACTGATCTCAAAAGCTATGTTCTAATTCCCTTCTTCGTACCCCATACTAACTTGACCGTCAGAGACTCTGCCCCGGGTTTTCACCCGAGGCCTCTGACGTATTCTGTCTTGCAGTACCTCGACCACTTGCCTTCTGCTTCTACAGTATTCGGAACCCTCGAAACCGGAGACCGAACTGGAGAAAATGTTGGTAGACGCAGATCTCCCCCTCCTTAGGAGTCCACAGCCGTTCGCCTACTTCGGGCACCCACATACCATGGGACGAGGGAATGAAGTACTGCCTTGCCAAAGCTTTGACCTAGTCCCCATCTAGAGAGTTCTCGAAACCCAGGTGGAGGACATCAGTCTTAGCTACTACTTGGGTAGCCCTCGTCCCGGGAACATGGTCTAGGGTTCCCTCCCCCTTGGTTGGGCAGGACCCTTCGGCCTCCCTCGATGTCACGGAAGCGGCACTCTCAAGGGAGGGTCCTCACCTCGACGGCTGCCTTCAGCACCCTCAGGGGCTACCCTCCCCCGAAGCACCTCAACCTCCTGCCGAAGGGGGGAAAGAGTAGAAGGACTCAAAGGGGAAAGGGGAGAAGGGGTACGGGAAGAGCTCCCTTCTGACTCATTCAGAAGATCATAGCATTCAGGACCAGAATCTGAGAAGGACATTGTTTAAAGTTACATAAGAAATGTGGAGGAAGAAAGAGTGAGAGTGAAGTGTTGAAGGTTGGAGAGTCTGGATGTTGAGTTCACTCGAAGGCAATGGCGCTTAGAGGCAAATGACAAGAATGTTGCCGCTAGGGGCCCTATTTAAAGGGGAACGAATGGCCCAGATTTCTCGAGATCCAATGACTGAGAAGCCACCGCCTCCACGGCGCACTGCGTGACGCTCACCCTCAGAAGGTGAAACGACGCGCTAGCGGCGACACAGATCGTCCCTGATCCAACGGACGCAAAACGCCTCAGCACCTGCGATCCAGCCACGCCGCACCCCTGAACCCTCGTCCTTGGAAGGCGAAACGACACTCACCCTTGGAAGGCGAAACAACACTCACCCTCGGAAGGTGAAACAATGCTCCAGGTGAACCAACGTGTCCGCCCATTGTCAACCATCGGCTTATGCGACCCGACCGCACGAATGCGCGCACTGGTCCGACTAGAAAGCCGTCTCGTGCACGGATCCTTGGGCCTCACAGGCCCTTCGGCTTAAACAGCCTTCAGCTTCACAGGTCCTCGACCCAAATGGCGGCACTAGAGCATCCGCACTGAGTGCGCCCCCCAGGTCACTTGTCCAAAGCAATAGTAATGTGGGCCACTTGCAGCCTCGACCCAACTTACGAAGACGAACCAGGTAGAGACGCAAAAGAGGACGCCACTGCATGGTACACCTCGGCTACCAGGCCCGCTGGCGCTCACCATTACTACTCCCATTAGCCGAAGCCAAAATTTTCTCCTTGGCCTCGGGAGTTGGGGGCAAGTGATGAGGGGTGACCTAACCCAACCCATTTGAGGTTGGGAGCCCCAGCCCACGAGCGCCAGACCTGGGAACGAGATCCGCTACAACAAAGGTTACTCTGCTCCCCTCGTACGGAGCCAATCATGGAGCGCCCACGCGTCCCCGCAGAGCTCTCTGACTGTCCTCGTACGACTCCCATCTCAAGCGTTCATCTCCACCTACCTCCAAGCAACTCAAGTATAAATAGGGGTGCCCCCCTCCAGGTAAGGGGGATCGAATACAATTTGTATCTGGACTTGGAACTGATCTCAAAAGTTATATTCTAATTCCCTTCTTCGTACCCCGTACTAACTTGACCGTCAGAGACTCTGCCTTGGGTTCTCACCCGGGGCCTCTGATGTATTCTGTCTTGCAGTACCTCGGCCACCTGCCTTCGGCTTCTACAATATTCAGAACCCTCGAAACCTTCGACCAGCCTTCGGAGTCTAAGAGCAAAATTACTTTGTTGCCCTCGACCATCCCTCATCAACAGGTACGATTTTTGAACCCATCAAAATGCCATTTAAAGAGACTTAAGAGGGGTATTAAGTTTAATGATTAGAACTCCTATCTTACCTCTCCCTAAAATGTCATTTTGAAATATTGTTGCTTAAAAACATGTGAAAACCCAATAATGGAAACTTAAAGTTCAGTGTAAAGGATTTTGAAGGCCTTTCATTTTACCATTATAAATGATTTTCAATATTTCTCCTCATGTGCCAAGAGCTACAGACATTTATATATTTTGTCAATGATTTTCGCTCATTAACCACAAAAAGCTTCCAAAATGGTTGGTTCCATAATCTTGTCATTGTATTAATACAACAGATGCATCATTTATCATATAAGGAGAAAAAGGCCTATTTGACATCTTATACTGCTTGTTAAGCAAAATGACCTTTTACATTCATTGGATTATGGGGTTAGTTTTCTATGTGACCCAGAGTTTCTTCTATTTCTTTTCATTCACATACACAATTTTAACGATTTAAAGAAAGAAAAAGAAAAATCGGGTATCTGGTTTATAACTATAAAAACAAAGTGAGCAAGGTTTAGCTGCTCAATGGGCTGTGGAACCAATAATAAGATTCCACACCAGTATTAAATACATGGGGCCCACATCTTTTACAGTGGGGCCTATGAATTTATTACTCACATGGAGCCTGATAATTGGTTCGATTCCACAACCTTCTGAACAGTTAAAGCATTCAGCTAATCTGAATTCAAACAAAGTAGTCATTAGAGGCAATTTTGGCCACCCACTATCTCCTCCAATGTTACTCTCATGTCTAGGTTCCTTATATCTACCCAACCTCTTCTATATTTTTTTAGGTGATTTTTTATCCCACATTAGAGATATATGAATACAAATATGTACTATGCAAATTCAAATTTAGAACAATCATGAAGATTGACTATGTTGTATGGAGATGGAGTTAAGTGTTTAACAATTAAGAAATAAAATGTCCAAAAAGTGAGTGTGACAAAAATTGAATACTTGGATCAGTGATAGAGTTAAAAAAGATCGAATTAGAAATCAAGTAATACGAAGAAGCCTGTGGATAGCTTCAATAGGTGGCAACACGAGAGAAAGTAGATTGAGATGGTCTGGCCATGTGCATAGAGAC